TCTTTTTTTTTTTTTTTTTTTTTTTTTTTTGCTGTTTTGCCCATACTTCTTTGCTTGGAATGACTGACAAAGTGGGAGTGGAGGAGAAAAGGAAGTGGGATTCAGGGTGAAGGTCTTCTGTGGTCAGGACATGGCCATGTCACCAGGCTTCAGGTCCCTGTAAAGGCAGCTGCTAATGACTACAGCCTAGGCAGATGGCACAGGCTGCATGCTGTGCAGGCCACAGGAACACTGCAGATCCCAAACGTCAAACCTTTAACCTTGGTGCTCCTTTCCCCTCTCATTTTCTGTTTTCTGCAAACACATTTGGGAGCTGTTAATTTGATTTCAATGCAAGGGGGGAGGGGGGCATAAGCCTTGGATCTTAGAGGCTGTAAAGTCTCACTTTTATGCCATTTCTCCTTACATTGAATTAAATGCCACTTCAGGCTAGCACTGGCTTCCCTGTGGCTTCTCTTTCCCTCTCTGTGAGATAACCTTTCTTTGAGCTCTGATGACATGCTTAGTTCAGTACCAAGTGCTTTACCTACAGTTGCATTTTTGTTACAACAGCCCTGTGAAGTCAGAGATGTTCTTTGATGTAGGCAGATGCTAAGACTCAATCATAGAGTCTGTTTTCCAGGGTTACATAGATAGTAAGAGGCAGAGCTACATTCAGATCCAGACTTAACTCCCTCGAACTTTGTGGCTCTTGGAGTCCTCCAATGTGGAATAGGATCATGTCTACAGAACAGGAGGTGTTAACGATGGCTCAGAAGAAGCAGAGTCAATGATAGAGGGAATCAAGTAGTGGATTTGTTTTTTTCCTGCTTCATCATAAACTGTAGGGCCATTATTACTTTGCCCTCTTGGCCCTGGGCCTGATGAATGGTGTCCAAAACCCAGTCATTGATGATCACATTTCCCGTCACACCCCGGGGCTTGCTGTTTTGCTCATCTTGAGTAGATTCTCTACATTGACACTTACTCTTCCTCACCCCCATTCCTCTGTTGCTCATTTAGGTACGGGGGATATGAGTGGGTGGAGTAGGGTGAAAGCATCTGGAAGCTGATCTAATCACCCCTGTCTACAACCTGCTCGGATACTCTTGATGGGCAGCTTTGAGACTTACCTTGTGGAAAGTGCCTCCGAGCTAAAAGTAGCCAATTTTTTTTCCGGTGGGTTAAAAAAAAAAACAAAAAAACAAAAAAACACGCCACTAAGGTGTGTCTTCTTGATGATTGTACCTCTCAGAAATAGACTGAGGTTTTTGGTGTTCTATTCAAACTTTCCTAAAGAGGAAAATCCCCTCCTCACACTTGCCTGGATTTATCCGCTTCTCCGGATGTGAAATATTTCAGCTTTGTGCCATAAGATACAGAGTGTGGTGAAAAGAAATTTTTTTCCTGACTCCCTTTAGGTCCTGATTACTTTCCTTTACCAGACAGGGCCACAAAAGATGTCACTCCCCTGGGAGCTTCAAATTCCTATTTGGTGGGCCCCTTATTTCTCTGGAGAAATGAAGGGTTTACCATATTTTAGTCCAAAGTTGGTGGGTGAGTTAATTAGCCATGTCTAGTGGTGAAAGTTTGGGATAATTATTTAAGCTTTCTAAACTTTGTTTTACTCGTGTTTTATTTATTTATTTATTTGGTGCCAGGGATTGAACTCAGGACCTTGCACTTGTGAGGCAGACATGGTGCCACTGAGATAAATCCCCGGCCCTTACTCATGTTTTAGAGTGGATGTGGTCCTAAGGGTTGGTGCTAAATTAATGAAGCAAAATCAAGATGTCACTAGAGCTGCCAGTAGTACCTCATCACCCATAAACTGGGGACTGGTCTTTCTGTCCCCATCTTGCTTTTGCCTTTCACTGCATTGTCCTTGTAGGCTCTGGATTCCAGTGTGCAGTGGTCCCAGTGCTACCTTCTATAGGGTCTGTGTTGCCTATGAAGTGATGCAAGGATGTCTCTGTCCTTGTGAGCTTGTAATGGTGAAGCACTGGTCCAGGAATCCTCAGTGTCATGCTAGGGGCTGCTGACAAGGAGAATGTGCTTTTTGACCTAGTGCGGAAAAGTCAGCTGCTGCTGCCTGAGAAGCTAGATCTGGGGGCAAAGTCTTGGGTAATGAGGAGTGCAGGTCTGAGAAAATCATGGAGGGGAGAGATGGTCTTCCTGTGTGGGCTCAGCCCTGACTCTGAACAGTGACCCCTTAGCTCCAGGATAGATGTGATTTCTGAGAGGCATTTTCCTCTCTCGCATCCTCAAAGCTCCAGGATTAATGTGCTACCTTTCCATTTTCTACTCTTCTCTCTCTCTCCCAACCCTCAGCCTATCAACAGTCTGAAAAATGTTCTTGGAAGAAAAATCATCACCACGATCAGTACAAACAAAAGAGCGAGACACAAAAATCAGTGGGAAATTTTCCATACCAAAAAGCTGTGGAAATGGCTACAGATGCAACAATGATGGCCATGATAAAATGATGGGCTCCAGGTTTATTATATTTTAAGACTAGAGCGTTGGTAAAGACATAGTGCCGAGGAGCTATTCTTGCTTTAGAGGGGAAGAAAAAGGCAGATTGTTGGGAAGTGAGGCAGGAAGAGTTTGTTACTGAATTTTTATCTATAAATTTCCTCCGTGACTTGATCCCAAGCTGGTATGAAGTAAGGGGGAAGATGGCTGGACAGATAGCTGGAATAGAACTTAGTGAAATTGTGTATATTACAGTCTTGTCATGGATGGCAAGATACAAAACAATTCCAAATACAGTTATGGGTGATTGGGAAGAGCAGACAAAGACCACTTGGGTAAATCGGATAGAGGTTCCTTTCCTAATGGAACTGGAAGGAAGGCAGGCAGACAGTGAGAAGATCTGACGGATCAGCAGCATTATCCAGGCAGCAAACTTTACCCCTGAATCTTCCCAGTGGGCTCATATTATAGAGCATAGTGTTTGAGAGAGGATCTTGCAGGCTTCTGCAAGACAGGACTCTCCCTCTAATTTAGTTTCTCTTCTTTCTCTTGGATTTTTTTTTTCCTGGTACCAAGATCAAACTCGGGTCCTTGCACTTGCGAAGCAGGTGCCAGAACCACTAAGCTAAATCCCCAGCCCTCTCTTCTTTCTCTGAAAGGCTAGAGTTCGGCATGTGGGCTTGTCTGGATATGGTCTAGAAACCAGCTCACCTGGGCCAGATGCATGTTACCATTATCATTACATGTATTGTACATGTAAATGATAAGATCACAGGTAACAGCATAGTTGACTAAGTGTGAACATAGTCATCATTTTATAGCCCCCAGGTCTCCCCAGGATCCCAGAGCCTTGCTTTAATATATTTCGGGATTTAGCTGTGCATCATCAGACTGGGGTCTGAATCCTATATGGGAGCCTCTAGATCTTATACAGATAAGCCCTCGGGTCAACTGCAGGGAGCGTCTTGTACAGACTGAGTTAGAACTCTTGCTTGATCTAGTGGGGCTAGGAACAATAGGGAATCATCTTAGCCAGCTCCCCGGACCTACCTTGCAGCCTTTCTCAGAGGTATCTTGGTGTTTACTGGAGGTTGCAAGAGCCACATGGCTGAGATGTCAAGAGTCCTGCCTGACTCTTCCTTGGTCACAGATGGCTAGCTGCTCTGATTTCAGTGGTGGACTGTGTAGAGAGCCAATAGCCCTTTACCTTGGTTTAGTCCACTTTTTGGAGGTTAGAGGTTTCCTCGATCTCCTGGTTCTCTTTAATCTTTCTGCTAGGTCTCTCTGATGTTATAAGAATTATAACAGGTTATAAGAATAAGGTATGCTGTTTGGAATAAGGTACGCTGTGGAATAATGATAGCAATAGCAACAATATTCATAATGCCTATTATGAGTTGTAGCTCTTTCTTCTTCACAAAGCCTCTTAATGAATTTACCTTTTCTAAACTTAGAACCTTCTCTACGTGGGTATAGGGCCATATAATCCCAGTTCTGTAATTAAGAAATACAAAAAAACTCTGAAAGCTGACAGGTTTTGTATAAGTTTGCAGCAAAGTCAGTGGCAAAAATGGATCTGAACTGATGTAAGGCTGTATTTACCCTGCTTACTTTGAATATTCATATGTTTTGCTGCAAAACTATTAATGTGTTTATAGAATGCTGCCTTGACTCCACTGGAGCTGTTAAACCCAGAGAAACCAGAATGTCTTTCTAAAATCAAAACAATTCAGATTTCTGAAGCATCTAATGTTTTTGGACAAGGGATTGTGGACCATTTTTGGCCCCAGTTTACAAACAAGATTTGAATCAGGTAAGTGATTTGCCCATGGTCACACAGCTAGCTATAAATGGGTAGAGCCAGGCACCCTTCTTGCCATCTAGTTCATAGTCCTGGGTGCTCTATAGCAGGCCATATAAGAACATGACCAGTGCTGTTCTAGGTCATATCTATCTAACCTAGTCAGTCTTTGGTTGCCAATACCATCCTTGAGTTGCCACTTTTAGTGGCTATCACCATCATCCTTGACGTCAATTCTAAAGGTCAGGTGTGCACAAGCTTCTCTTAGTAGCTATTTATGGCTACTCTGTCATT